TACAAAGACTTTAAAAAACAAAACTAGGAGGGCAACCGAGATGGCAACATAGGAGGCTTCTGACTCCCTCCTCCCATGGACACATTGTACTAATACAGTTCATATACTATTTGAACATGTGTTCATATACTATGAACAGCTACATGCCAATGGAATGGACAACCTAAAAGAAATGGATAAGTTCCCAGAAATATACAACCTACCAAGACTAGAGAACGTGAACAGATTGATTACTAGTAAGGAGAGTGAGTCAGTAATCAAAAACCTCTCAAACAAAAATCCAGAACCAGATGGCTTCACTGGTAAACTCTATGAAATATTCCAAGAAGAACTAATACCAATCCTTCTCAAACTCTTCCAAAAACTAGAAGACGAAGAAACACTTTCAAACTCATTTTATGAGACCGATATGACCCTGATACTAACGCTTGACAAGAATACCACAAGAAAAGAAAATTACAGACCAATTTCTCTGGATGAACATAGATGCAAAAATCCTCAACAAAATACTAGCAAACTGAATTCAATAATACATTAAAAGGATCATATACCATGATCAAGTGGGATTTATTCCAGCGGTGTAAGAATGGTTCAATATCTGTAAATCGATCAATGTGATATATCACATTAACAAAATGAAGGATAAAAATGATATATTCACCTCAATACATGTAGAAAAAGCATTTGACAAAATTTAACATCCTTTCATGTTAAAAATCCTCAGCAAAATGGATATAAAGGGAATGTACTTCAATATAATAAAAGCTATATATGACAAGTCCACAGCTAACATCATACTCAGTGGTGAAAAGCTCAAAGATTTTCCTCTAAGATCAAGAACAAGACAAGGATGCCCATTCTTGCCACTTTTTATTTAGCATAATACTGAAGTCCTAGTCAGACCAATTAGGCAAGGAAAAGAAATAAAAGATGCCTGAATTCAGAAGGAAGAAGAAAATTGTCTCTGTTTGCAGATGACATTATATTATGTATAGAAAACTGTAAAGACTCCACCAAAAAACTTGTTAGAATTAATAAACAAATTCGCTAAAGTTTTAGGATACAAAATCAATATAGAAAAATCAGTTGCATTTCTATATCCCAACAACAAACTATCAAAAATTAAAAATTTAAAAAATCTCATTTACAATAGCAACAAAAATAATAAAATACCTAAGAATATTTTTTCCAGTTTTAGTGAGAAATAATTGACATACATCTCTGTATAAGTTTAAGGTATACAGCATGATGGTTTGATGTACATATTTGTGAAATGATTACCACAATAGGTTTAGTTAACATCCATCACTCAAACAGATACAATAAAAAGAAAAGAAAAATGATTCTCCTTGTGATGAGAAATAAATTTAACCAAGGAGATGAAAGACGTGTACACTGAAAACTATAAGACATTGATGAACAAAACTGAAGAAGGCACACATAAATGAAAAGATATTCCATGTTCATGGACTGGAAAAACTAATATTGTTAAAATGTCCATAGTACCCAGAGATTCACAAATTCAATGCAATCTCTATCAAACCTCTAATGGTATTTTTCACAGAAATAGAACAAACTATTCTAAAATTCGTATAGAATCACAAAAGACTTGGGATAAAATAAAAGAGGTAGAGGCATCACACTTTATGATTTCAGACAGTATTACAAAGCTATAAAATAGTATGATATTGACATAAAAATAGACAGATTAGTGGCAAAGATTAGAGTCTAGAAATAAACCCATGTATACATGGCAAATTAACTGACAACAAAGGAGCCCAGATATATAATGAGAAAAGGACAGTCTTTTCAATAAATGGTGTTGGGAAAACTGAACAGTCACATGCAAAAGAATGAAACTAAACTACTATCTTACACCATATACAGAAATGAATTCAGAGTGGGTTAAAGACTTGAGTGTAAGACCTGACCATAAAACTCTCAGAAGAAAACATAGGAAAAAATCTCCTTGACACTGGTCTTGGCAATGACTTTGGGGATTTGATACCAAAAGCAAAGGCAACAAAAATAAAAATAAACATGTGGGACTACATTGAATTCAAAAGCTTCTGCACAGCAAAGAAAACTATCAACAAAATGAAAAGGCAGTGTATAGAACGGAGGAAAATATTTGCAAATCACATACTTAATAAGGCATTAACATCCAAAATAACAAGGATCTCATCCAGCTCAGTAGCAAAAAAACAAACAACCCAATTAAAAAAAAATGTGCAGGGGACCTGAACAGACATTTGTCCAAAGGAGACATACAAGTGGCCAACAGGTACATGCTCAACATCACTAATAATCAGGGGAATACAAATAAAAACCACAATGAGATATCACCTCACACCTGTCAGAATGGCTATTATCAAAAAGATAAGAAATAACAAATCCTGGAGAGGCTGTGGAGAACAGGGAACCCTCGTGCACTGTTGGAAATATAAACCAGTCCAGCCACTACGGAACACAGCATGGAAGTTCCTCAAAACATTCAAAAAAAAATAGAATACCATATGAAACAACAATCTGGGTATATCTCCAAAGGAAATGAAACCATTATCTTGAAGAGATATCTGTACTCCCATATATTCACTGCAGCTTTATTCACAATGTCCAGGGCATGGAAACAACCTGTGTCCTTCAACAGATGACTGGATAAAGCAGTTGTGGTATATATATATACATGCACACATATATATACATATACACACAATATTATTCAGCCTTAAAAAAAGAAGGAAATCCTGCCATTTGCAATAACACGTAGAAAGCCAGAGGGCATTACGCTAAGTGAAACAATCCAGACTAAGACAAACCCTGCCATGGTATCACTTCTATGCAAATCTAGAAGAAAAAAAAATCCAGTTCCTAGAAACAAAGAGTAGAGAAATGGTTATCAGGGGTTGGGAGTTGGGGGAAAAGGAGAGGTTAGCAAAAGGGTACAAACTTTCAGTTCTAAGATGAATAAGGTCTGAGGATCTAATAGAAAACATGGTGACTATAGTTGATAACATTGTATTGTAAAACTGAAATCTACTAAGAGAATTAGAACTTAAATGTTCTTACGCACACACACAAAAGGTAACTATGTGAGGTGAATGGATGTGTGAATTAACTCGATGTGGGAATCCTTTCACAATGTATACATACATCAAATCATCACATTGCACACTTTAAATAGCTTATAATTTTATATGTCAACTATATGCCAATAAATCTGAAAAAATAAAAACAAAAACTATTTTAGCACTGACAGCAGACCACAGTGAACAGACATTAACAACTCTAAACTAAATATCAAGAGACAGAAACTGAGAAGTGGACATCAGTTCAGGTGAAGCTTTCAAAGCTCCTGAGCATTGCTGGGATCTATACCATTCAGGGCGTGCAGGCAGGCTGTCCACACCACACATGAGACAAATGCCTGAGACCCTTCACTAAGACTCAGAAGAAATAATATTCCCATTTCATTTGAAATTAAACTAAAAGGAGACTACAAAACCAAGCATGGACCAAGAGTCCAAACTAGAACTGAAAGGATTGACTTCTGATTTCAAGTTTTGACTTTGGAAGCAATTTACCTGGACATTATTATAAATTATCTGCATGATACAAAGTATCCCAAAGTGTCTTGATTCCCAAGTGTCCAAGTCCAATCTACCTTATGTCGGATATGTAAAGTTTATTATTCTTACACATTTGAAAACAACCTATTCAAATGTGGCGTGTTCTCTTTCCTAATGTGAGACCCACTTTCCAAATCCTCTTCCATCTGAGAACTCTCAGGAAATTGGAAACTTGAAAATTCTCTCTCCTTACCTGATGTTGGCTCAACACTAAAGGCTTGATGAGACTGAATCAAAGTGACATGAAACTCGAAATCCACAGGACAACTGCATTGCAAAGGAATAACATACTTTTTGCTGCAAAAAAAAAAAGAAAAATGGAAAATATTACTTTTCTTTATAACTAGCTCTTTTGGTATCAAGGACTAGAGACTCAAATTATGTAATAAATAATCACAACAATGAGAACAGTCAACGCTCATACAATATTCCTGGGTGACAGCTAGCCTACGCAATTCCCAGATAGTAACGACTCTAATCCTACCACGTAGTAATATGATTTCCCCACTTACAGAAGGGGAAACTGAGGCACAGAGAGGATTACTGTCTTGTACAAGGTGACAGAGCTAGTTAGTGGCAGAACCAGAATTCAGTGCAGTCAACTGTCCCACATTTATGCACCAAACACCTCTGTCTTGCGGCCTCTCGAGTCCTGGCAGGTTTATCCCGTGGGTACTCACAGTCACAAGAAAGGGCATCTCTGCCACACAACATGCCCCAGGGGACCTGGGAACGCTGAGTAAGCAGACCTCACAGAAACCTGGGAAGCCCCTGGCCTTTACAGAGCCTGGAACTGGACCGCATTGAAGAAACCACCCTGTGGGTCGTGTGTGGCTGAAATATGCTAGAGACTCTATTTGGTTAGAAGCTGAACAATCAATCAGCAGAAGATCTGGAGAGGGGCTGTGCTCTCAGAAATGCTCTCACCCAAGACAGGGCTGTGTTCTGAGTAAGCCTGAGATACTTACTTACAGCACAGAGGTGGCATTTCTTAGTAAGCCCTGAGCTTATCCTAACGTCTTCTCCTTCCATCAGGACAAGCCCAGGTCCGCCAGAGTTTGCAGGATGATTTTGTGGGAGAAGCAGAGCTGTCCAGCCACCATTTGGCATGCCTCGGGGAGCTGGGCCCCTTTCAGCAGCTCCTCCTCTAAGTAACTCAGCCCTGCCCTCACCCCTGACTTTCTCTGTGCCTCCCTCCTTCTCCTCCGTCTGGGCTGTGTGTTCCCTTCTCCACCACCTAACTCCCTCACCTTCATGGCCCACCACGCCCTTCTGCCCAGTGGCTGGTCCCTACCTCTTAACCTGCCCAATGAGGACCTCCCTGCCCACTGCTCGTCTCCCTCACACGTCCCAGCTCACACTCCTGGGAGAACCAGACAGTAACGGGTTTGAGCAGAGCTGCCAGGCCAACTCTTACGCTGCCTTCTGGGCGCTGCCATCCCAGCCTAATCTGTTATGGGCTTTTCCCATCCTTACCTGCCAGCACCTGTCTTTCTACCTGGGAGACTCTTAAGTCCTGCGAAGGCAGAGCTGAGTCTACTTGCTTCTCCGGCATAACTCAGCAAAATCCCAGAGTCCGGCACAGACAACAAATATTTGTTGGAGCAAAATGAAATAATTCTTTTTCAATAATGATTTTGGGGATACAGTATAGTTCAAATATGGTTTTAAAAATTAGGCCAGGAGCATTTTTATTTGGAGAATTTCATCACCTTCAAAAATGTCTAAAATATTCCAAATATAAAGAAAAATACAGAGAATAATAAAATAAAAGTCCCTTTATCCACTACCAAGCTCCATCAAGTCTTTTGCTTTGGGTAAATCAGTGTATTTTTCTTCAAGACATAGAACATTGCAGAACTGCTGAAGCTCCCTGTACGCCTCCCCCTGGTTCTCTTCTCTCTCCTCCCTCCCCTGGGGGGGGGGGTGCTACCTGTATTCACCATCATTCCCATGGATTTTTATAATATCACCACATATATATGTACCCATAAAATATATAATATTTATTATTTGCCTTCAGAAATACTGTTCTAAAACTTGCTAATTTTGCTCAAAATTATGCTTTTGAAATTTATCCATGATGACACTTGAAGTTCTGTTCATTCGTTTTAACTAGTGATGGGCATTCCGTTGTATGACCACATCATCCTTATTTCTCTGCTCCCTTGCTGAAAGGCATTTAGGTTGTTTGTACCCTTTCACCACTGCACTGACGTAATGACGGTCCTTGGCTGTGACTCCTTTTGCATCTGTACCAGGGCTACTCTAGCTAAAACCAAGGAATGGAAGTACAGCTTAGCAGTAAAGTCAAAATATCAGTTTAATGATATGGCCAAAGTGCTCTCCAAAGTACTTGTATCAATTTGTACTTCCACGAGCAGCATACGAGAGCTCCTGTTGCTAACCAACACAGGATTCCCAGACATTTTAACTTCTTCTGACCTTATGGGGTAAAATGGTATCTCATTTTATTTTCATTTTCATTTTATCAAAGTTCAGCTTCTATTTGTGTGTGTCCATTTGGGCTTCCTCTCCTATGAATTGCCTGGGTGTTTTTGTGTTTTCTGCCTACTTTCCTATTGGGTTGTTCTGTTCTCTTATTAACTTGTACATTCTAGATGTTTGTTATGTCAATTATACTCACTGACCTAAATTCTAGACAAGGGTCATTGTACAGAGTAATCACTTCAGCCCACAGTGAAGTGAATACTTCATAGATTTTTTTTTTTCACCAGACTCATAAATCCTGTCCTAAATCAGGGTCTACTAGAAGTATCAGTTCATGAATCTTAACTTTCTGAGATGGTTTCTAATTCTGAAACACAGGGTACATAAAAGTCACCACGTTTTCAAGGCAACTCAACCTATCAGACACTCAGGCCCCACTGAGCATCAGCTATTTACAGCACCGGGTAGATAAAACTGACAGCGCAAATTACATACCCCTCAGGATGTAAGCAGCCTTGGGTAATGGTCAATGTGAAGCATTAAACTGCCCAAACCTGGTCTGAACATTAGGCCAGTGACCCACACAGATACATGGGCTTTATAGCCCTCCAGTCAATACCCCCAGGGCTCTGCTCAGAGCTGCCCTAGCAAGGTCAAGTCTGCTGCTTGGGGTTCTGCTAAAAGTTGGAAGTTTGCATTTTCCTGAACTAAAGTAAAACAAAAAAACCTGCTAAGTCTTTTCATATATACCCAATCTGTAATTAATTTCAGAGCTCTGATAATTCCCATGGAAAAGGTGTCAGAGTATTTGTTTAATGATCATTATATGAAGCCAAGTTCCTGATGCATTAATCGGTTGGAAAAACAAACAATTCCTTAAGGGCACAAAATTCCAAGTGCCTGGATTAAGAAGGAGACACAGCAGTGCCAGTAATACAAATTTCAGTGGAATCACTGAATTTTGTTTTCATTGCTGCTATTCATATCACAGATGTCAACTTAGTGTGGAGGGCCTCCTTAATCATTAAATCAAGGGCAGTCTAGATTAATTTGGATCAAGAGAAATTTTGGCACATACGAAGTTTAGTTTATTTAGTAGTTTTTCATATGTGAAGAAACAAACTTATTAGATTCTGGGGTGGGGGGGAGACTCAAAATTCTCAACTAAATTCCCATTGCTAAATACAATTAAATCTGATCTGCAATGAAGAAACATAAAGAAATATACATATCTCATTAATCCTCGACGCAGATAGGAGCCTGAATTAGAGTTCTTCTATAACTTATAGAAGGCAACCAATTAAAAAGCAGTTAGAAGTTAGTACTTTTGCAAGTAATTACAACTTTTTATCCCTTTTACTTTATTATATAAACATTTAATCAAATATGCTAAGGCTATGTATAAAAGGATATTAAGTACTTTGAAAGAATTATACATTATTTTTAATAAAATCCAACCCAAACATTTTAAATAATAGACTTACATTATGATCATGTACAAACTCTGTGCCTATTAGAAGAAAAGAGTACAAACTGCCTTATAGAAAGTAAAAATTATAAAATAACAGTAAAAGGAGGAGGGTATAGCTGAGTCTTAGAGTGTGTGCTTGGCATCCATAAGGTCCTAGGTTTAATCCCCAGTGCCTCCATATAAATAAATAAACCCAATTACTTACACCCCCCCAAAAAGCCAGAAAAACAAATTATTAAAAAAAATTTTTATATAAAATCATAATAAAAAACTCAAGTATCTTTCTTGTTCCTTGTCTCAATAAATGCTAGTAGAGGGCCAGACACCACATTAACTTCTAGCAAATTATGTAACACTTGTATTACCTTACTCTGACGTGATTTTTATCATTTACCCTAAAATTGCACAATGTGTTGGTCTAAGGAGCAATCAATGATTTCTTGAGAGAATGGATGAGCTTGTGAACTTATTGTAAATAACATGAAATCAAATTTCCTCCCTAATTAAAAAAATCTCAATGTTTAGAGACTGGAAGGAGGAAGCCTTCTTGCCATAAATAAGATTTGACTCCTTTTTAAAGATTGAAGTTCAACTGATGATGCTCAGGACAAATGCTGGATTCAGACAGCACAATAAATTAACCATTATAATAATTTACAATACAATAATAAATGAACCATTAGTTATTACACATGCACAAAATTTAAGGGAAACACCATCAAGACAAAGGGAAG